CGGGCGCCGCGCCGGAGTCCCCGCGGCCCTGCGGCCGGCCGCTCTCGGGCTCCCGCTCGTTGTCCCAGCGCTGGGCCTGGGGTCGCCGCGAGGTCCCACCGCTCCCAGGCCCCCGACATGGGGCGGGGGGCAGACGGCCGCGGGGATGTGCGGCAGCTGCAGCGGGGTTCGGCTCCGTGCGCGCAGATGCCTTCCTGGGCGCAGATTTTGAAGTGGCTCTGGGGCCGAGGCGTAGCTGAGCGGCAGTGTGTACTCTGCGTGCGGCAGGCACTGGATCCCCAGCGCCCCGAAACCGAGCTGTGAAGTGTGGGCGTGTGTTAATTCTGTCTCCATTACGTAAATTTTAAATTTTCCTGAGTGCATGCTTGCAGTGCGTAGTGCTTACATTCGTCGTGGACTTTTTCCTTCTTTTGCGGGGCTGAGAGTTGAATCCAGACCTTGGCGCACTCAGCACCCAGCTAGGTGCCCAGCCCCTACCTAATTCTTCGGACTACAGGCTGAAATTGTCAGGTTGGATTTACGCGTTAGAAAAGTGAACTTCAGAGACTCTGAAGACTGCTACGCGTTTTTCGCGTACTAACCTTCCAGCTTCAAATAATTATAAATGAATGAGAAGGGCTGAGTAGGATATCACTAGTCCAAGATTACTGGCAAAGTCAGAGCTGTCCAAGAGGCTGTTTGACAGCCATGTCTATTGTGCTTTTCCGGACAATCACGTGCTAATCAGGCACCCAACCGCTGGAGAGCAGTAATCACAGACCTTACACCGGTCCCTTATCCAGCTTTCTGGATATAAAGCTATGCAGTGTTTGAAAGAGACACTACTTATTTGTGAGGCTCAATTTCAAGACTTTAATTGTGTGTTATCAACTCAAATGAACGTTTACCAGCTCTAGAGACCTTTTAAAATCCTAAAGTAGCTAGTACCTGACACAATAGGGAATTGACACATAATTGATACTCTTGCTCAATTTATACCGAAGGGAATGTATTCTTTCTTCTCTTCTGGCTCTGTGCAAGCCAGCAGGGGGTATCATGACACCGTCTTTAGTCACTTTCTGCCCCCCCCCATCTTCTACACGTTTTGTTACAAAGCAGTAGTGAAAGTAAACACAAAATCATTCCCCTCCCACTCAATAAGTTACTTTTAAAAAATCTCATGGTTTGCCTCTTAGAAGCACATTACAATGTTGAGATGTTGTGCAACATAATCACAAATCAGAGGTAGTTTAAAGCTCTTTGGTTAGTCGGAGCCCGATTGCCAGTTGCCCTTGCGCTTGCCAGGGAAGCACTTATTCCACTGAGCCATCTCCCCAGCCCCAAGTACTCATCATTCTTTCAGGTTTTTGCTACATTTGTAGCATAGCTTAATTTTGTTCTTCGGTTAAAAAGGGTCACTCTGGGAGGCTGAAGCAGGAGGATCATGAACTCCAGCCCAGTCAATTTATAGATTTAGTTTACTTTATTTTTTGCCGGAACTGGGAATTGATCTGAGGCCCTTGCGCTTGCCAGGGAAGTGCTTATTCCACTAAGCCATCTCCCTGGTCCCAATTTATAGATTTAGATGCTGATTTTTTTAAAAAAGTATGTTTGTTACAAAATGAAGATAAAAGAAAAGTATAGGGCAGGGGAGTTGGCTCAGTAGAATAAGTGCTTCCCTGGCAAGCACAAGGGCCTCAGTTCAATCCCGGGTTCGACAAAAAAAAAAAAAAAAAAAAAAAAAAAAAGAAAGAAAGAAAGAAAAAAAAAGAAAGAAAGAAAGAAAAAAAGAAAAAGAAAAGAAAAAAGAAAAAGAAAAGTATAAAGAGCAAAAGAAAATTTTATCATCAGCCTACAAATCTGAGCTGATCAATAGCAAATTTTGCTGTGTCTATTATTTTTATACCCACATATCTATATATTTTTCTTTTCTTTCTTTTTTTTTTTTTTTTTGGCTCCGAATGCCTTCCGGGCATGATTGGCTTGCTTGAGTTGTGGGGATTGAACCACAGCAACCTGAGCCTGACTGCTTTGTTGAAGCAGCCACTTAAAGAACTGAGCTAAGGGGCAGGCCCCTTATATTTTTCTTAAAATTAGAATTTTTAAAAGAATATTATTGTTTTGTAACAGCTTTTCCCCCCAGTTAGTACAGCATAACAATTCCTTATGCTATTGAAATATCAAGCCTGGGCGTGGTGGTGAATGTCCGTAATCCTAGCACTTGGAAAGCTGAGGCAGGAGGAATGCCATAAACTGGAGGCTAACTTGGACTACATAGTGAGTTTAAGACCAACATGGATTATAAAGCAAAACTCCGTCTCCAAAAATAAATGTACTTTGCCAGTTAGGTAAATAAAATGTAGTTTGCATTTTAATATCTATTTGTGTGAAATTGAATATTTTCCTCATGTGTCCTCTCTCAGTGTCATCTTTTTTTTTTTTTTTTTCCCTCAGCTACCCTAGTTCTGGGATTACAGGCATGCACTACCACACCTGTTAATCCTTGTTATCTTAATTCTCTCTATCTTGTAGAATAGCCTGAAATTAAATTTGTAAATAAAACAGAGTTTCATCCAATGTTCAATCTCCAATGCGTTGGGTTTTTAATTTTCCCAGCATCAAAATCATGGGGAGATCTGGTTAAAATACAGATCTCTGTGACCAGGTGCAGTGGTAGAAATTTTTTTTAAATGTATTTGATACAGGGTCTCACTGTGCAGCTCGGACTCATGAAAACTCCTGTTTTCAGCCTTCCCAGTGCTGGGATTACAGGTGTGTACCAGCACGCCCAGTCTAGTGGTAAAATATTTGCTTGACATGTGTGAGCTCTTGGTTTCAAGCCCTAGCAATTAGGGAGGTGGGAGGTGGAGCAGATTTCTGGGTTTTCTTTCTGGCCTTTCTTACTGGGTAAGTGTGGGTCAGCAGCTGAGATGCCATCCGGTTTGATGTGATGCCTCAGTCTTCGCTGATTTCCACAGTGGTTGCAGGAACCACACTTTGAAGAATCGCTCTCCTAAACTTGCCCCAACCAATCCCCACACTAGTCAAGAAGTACTTCTCACTCGTATGCCATCAGCAGCCTCTTCCTCACCTGTGAGATCCAGCATGGGTATTTTCCACATGCGAACACTTTCCCTTGTTTCTGTCCGTAGCATCTATTGTATAAATGTGTTCATCTTCTTTATCCATTCCTCAGTTGATGGGCATTTTGGCTGTTTTCAAGATATAGATATTATAAACTGTGTTGCTATAAACAAGGGTTTATAGCAATATATATCAATATCACTCTGGTATGATGCTTTTAATTCTTTTGGGAAGATACCGAGAAAGGGAACAGCTAGGTCAAATGGAACTTGTAGTCCTAGTTTTTTGAGGAATTGCCAGACTGATTTCCACAGTGGTAGCACCAGTCTCCATTCCCACCAACAGTGGAGAAGGGTTTTTTGTCCCCACAGCCCTTCCAATATTTGTTATTGGTTGACTTCTTGATAATAGCTGTTCTTTTAGGGGTGACATGGAATTTCAGTGTTGTTTTAATTTGCATTTCTCAAATGACCAATGATTTTAAATGTTTTTTTCATATATTTAATTACCATTTCTACTTCTTCATCTGAGAAGTGTCTCTATTTCAGATGCCCATGTTTGGACTGAGACCCTGAGTTTAGTGCTCTGTGCTACAAAGAAAAAAACAAAACAAAACAAAACAACAACAACAACAAAAAAGGCAAGGGGGAGGGCCTGGAGATATAGCTCAATGGCAGACTGCTTGCCTACCATTCATAAGTCCCTGGCTTCAATCCCCAGCACTCAGGGGTGGGGGTGGGGGAAACAACCCAAAGTAAAAATCAAAACTCAAGCTTGCAACTTACCTCTTCTATGAAATCTTTTTTTTCTCATTTACATATTTTATTTGGAAGTGTTTACACCAGTACAGTGAAACTAAAGTTTAGAGAACATATGTGATTAGTTTAGATATCATCAGTTTATTATAAAAGAGACATGGAAATTATGTACATGATGAAAGACGCAGCACTTCCGTGGAATGGGCAGTGTTGGTGACGCCACTTCAACAGTGATTTACTTCACTCTATATATTTTCCAAGAATGTCACCATCTCTAAACAAGAAATAATCCTTGTCATCTAGAACTACTTTGGTGCCTCCATATTCTGGAAGAAGAACTTTATCTCCAACTTTCACACTAACTGGTTGGATCTCTCCACCCTTCCCCTTGGAGCCGGACCCCACAGCTATCACAATTGCCTGCAGCACTTTGCCTTGAGATTTTTCTGGAAGCATAATGCCTCCTTTGGTGACAGTTTCAGCGGCGTTCCTTTCAACCAACATGCGGTCAAACAGCGGGAGAAACTTCCAAAATGCCTGTCCTACCAGGGCTCCTGCCCTGCA